TGAAAGGGGGGGCCAACATATCTTTTGGCCCCCCCCAAAACGCTTGAAGAAAAATTAATGTGAGATGGTTGCGTAGTAGATACCTACTAGAATCAGCAGCGTGATTCAATAGCGTAGAGAAAGTCAGGGGTGCGGGAACTACTTTCAGACTGGGGGGGGGGCACACCATAATAGAGATCAACCTAGGGTCCCCCCAAATCTAGTTTCTCACCGGTTTTAGGCCACTTATTTTTCATCTCTTGGCTTTTTCAACAAAAAAAAGAAAACATTTGCAAAAAGGGCGGTATTCCGTCTGAAAGTTGTGGTGGCACCGCCCCCCACTGGTGGATTCAGGGAGGGGGCCACCGGGGCCATGGCCCCCCAAAAGCCTGAAAGGGGGGCCAACATATCTTTTGGCCCCCCTCCCAAAACGCTTGAAGAAAAATTAATGTGAGAAGGTTGCGTAGTAGATACCTAAAAGTTAGAATCACCGGCGTGATTCAATAGCGTAGAGAAACTCAGGGGTGCGGGAACTACTTTCAGACTGGGGGGGGGGGGGGGCACACCATAACAGAGATCAACCTAGGGTCCCCCCGAATCTAGTTTTCTCACCGGTTTTGGGCCACTTATTTTTCATCCCTTGGCTTTTTTCAACAAAAAAAGAAAACATTTGCAAAAAATGGGGTATTCCGTCTGAAAGTTGTGGGGGCACCGCCCCCACGGCCCCATAGTTGGGGGGTGGGCAGGCTGTCCCCACTGCCCCGGTTCTCGCGCCTATGGAGAAACTACCTGGTTTACTAGCTTTCTTCATAAAGTGTCGTCATGTCTTGTCGTCACCCGAGAAGGTCTTATTGCATACATATCGATTGAACTGTCAAGTTAACAAACTTGCTCTGGCAGCCTGACCTGACATGACCCGGCAATTTTTCATTCACGGAATATGCGCAATAATTTTTTTAGGAACACTCACTGAGTTGGCGTTGAAAAGCTTGTTTTGTTTGGTAATTGTACAAGAAGCATATCAGGGACCTTTTTGTCCCTTCCCGTGAAACGGTAAAAGACTTATTTCGGTCAGAGCTCAGGCCAATCTCTAAGGGGTCAGTCGGGTCACTTATTTCTTAAAAGGGTCCTTACGGCATCCAAGGACCAATTCCGGCTTTTGAGTGCACCACATCAGCATTTGATGCTGCGACAGATGGTGAAATATGAATATATGTTACAGGCCGTATGAAAATTGTCCGTTTGCAAACGGCCTGGCCCAGTCAGGGCATATGAAACAGCCTGAAAACACCGGCCGTTTGCAAACCATGACCTGAAATATCAGACCGTTTGAAAACGGCCTAGTTAGCTTCGGCGGCGGCCTAGCGGATCCAGGGGGGCCACGGGGTCATGCCCCCAAGCCTGAAAGGGGGCAACATGTATTTTGGCCCCCAAAAACACTTAAGAAATATGAATGTGAGAAAGTAGCGTAGTAGGTAGAAACTACCGTATCATTAAAAATATGTGAGCTTGAGTGTTGGTCTCGTCTTCACCCAAGAAGTTCTTATTGCATACTTTACCTCTCGATCGACGCGTGAAGTTATCGTGTAAGTTATCATGAATCCGATCGCGACGAAACTTTAGCACCCTCATGTTGACAAAGTCTGAAAATTTCATGACCCTGACCCATGACCCAAGTGACCTTTGACCTGTGGCCTATTTCTCGAGACTATCCGTGCGTTCGGAGAGCATGGAATATTCACCGTCCCCTGGAATATTCCCCGTGCCGCGTTCGGAGGCGTATCTCTCTGAACGGCCAATCTCCGGGAATGTTCCGCGCGCATGGAGTATTCCACGGATTCCACGTGGAATGTGCCTCTCCGAACGCACCATATGTTTGGCCATGTTTGAGGCCATGTTTGGCCGGAATCGCGATTCCGCGTATGTCGGGTCACATTATCCGCTCGTTTACAGTCTTTTCGTGGTTTAAAACGCTCAAACATGTGAAATGATGTTGGTCCCAACCATTGTGGTAGGTGTCAATGTCACCTTAGGGTCAAGTCAGGTCATTGACCTTTGATGACCTCGGTGCACTTTTCCGAGTTTAACATGTTTCTAGGATAGTTTCGTTTAGCTGATTTTGAATTTAGCATTTAGCAAGCATTTGCAGTGGCGGATCCAGGGAGGGGGGGCAAAATGGGCATTTGCCCCCCCCCCCAAACGGCATAATTTTAACATTACGCCTATGGACGATGCATGGAAAGAATCGATAAATTGTTATGGTTTGCCCCCCCCCCCCAAACCTCTGAGCTGGATCCGCCTCTGACCATTTGAACATTTACGAAGTAGTTTTGATGCCTTCGTATCATGTTACGTAGCTGCCAGTGGTAGTCGGACACCTGCTACACGGACGCCCATAAGTACTGGTTGACCTGGTTGACCTGACCTGGCCTGCCCCGACATGGCCTAAAGGCATGAAGACATCATCTATGATCCAAACTAACATGAAATTCGTGATCAGCACAAAAAATCTATTACAGCCTTACTTTAGGAGGTTCTGACAGGCCCTGATTTTCCCGTCTTTTGGGTCTGTGACCTGACCTGGGCGGTGTTTCACGGCACGCTGCCAGCGCTGTTGGCACTTTTGGTTTCCATGGAGACATCAACTAGCCTATACCTACAACACTACCGAAGGTTGACCTTAGCTCGCGGAATGCGCTGGCAGCGGCTGGCACCGCGACCGTGAAACACCGCCCTGGAAGGTCAACCAATGACCAAGGACCTTAAAATCGGGTAGCATCGGCTTCCTCTCGTCACTCACAGGCAACACACTCGTTTTTTCCGCGAGCTCTAGCTTGATCAGGGGCCGAACGGCAGAGAGGTTCAACCGACACCTCCCAGCCCGCGAAGGCTGCGCCAAGCACCGACCCGGAGCGGTGGTCGACAAAAGCAATTTGAAGTGTTTTCAAAGTAATATTAAGGCACGGGTTGAGTGGGCTACCATTTCTCTCTCTCTATTTTTTTTTTTTAGTTTAAAAAAATTATCGTTTCAGGGCTGTGACGAAAAATAAGTGGCCTAAATCCGATGAGAAAACAGGATTTGGGGGTACCCTAGGTTTGGCTCCTTGCACGAGTTGGCCCCCCCCAAAACGCAAGTCTGGATCCGCCAGTGGCTGCATGGTGTCTCTGCCGAGAAAGCTCGCCCAGGGCGCGCGGAAGGAGAGCAAGATGGAGAGTGGGTGTTCGTTGTGTTGTTTTGGAGGGAGGTGAGGTGATGAGAGCGGGAAGATGATCAACAGAACATCGGGTGGATGACGCATCGTTGAAACTGGAGGCTGAGCTTTCAGCCGAGGGCCGCCAGCACGCGTCAACACTCTTTGTCATCGCGCAGATCGCACTGTGACACTCGCGGCGCGCAGTTTGTCGCCGCGCCGTGATTGCCGCCATCTGTCGCAGGCGCGCCACATGTGAGTGATTACCGGCGACTAATTACACCTGGCGCAGCACCGCGCTGCAATCGCCGCCGCGCGCAGACTGCGTGCGGCAGGGCTCGTCTCCCCTTCCCAGAGTTTCCGCGAGAGACGACACGTTTGCCGCGCGGCCGTGTCAGCTGCGTCACCAATGCCGCCACCGCGCCACCAGCGCCGCAGCCGCCCGTTATTACAATATCTCGGGCCTTGGAGCAGATGACTGTTCAGCCGGGCGTGAAAAGCGGACACGTTTTATCGGCGCCGCGCGTCGGACCGCGCCGCTAACGGCCTGCCAGATCGCGGCGCCTAATTGCTATCGGGGCCGATCGCCTCCGCGTCGCTCACTTTGCTTCCATTTCACGTGCCGCGCTGACCTCCATGTGCCGATTGATCGACATTGCAGCCGTGCAGGCCGGCGCGCGCCCGCCCAGGCGACTCCGAGCTGCCGGTGCATTGTCAGGTGCCGGTCGATGCCAACTGCGGGCACCCACTCGACGTTTCCAGGGTTTCCGAATCGGTTGCATCGGCCGATTGCGGCTCATGACGCAGGTCACCGAGCTGCCGTCTGTTCGCGTCACCCGGGATACGGACGCGCCGGTGCGCCGATCAGTTATGGCAACCGACCGATGACGGGACGACCGGACGGGCTATGTCGCATCCGATGTCCGGCCGACGGCAGCCAGGTTTGGAGCTGTCTCCAGCCTCATCCCAGCCCCCGACACTTCAGCCGCTTCTCTGCCATCTCCGCTAGACCCCCGCCCCTCCCCCACCCGTCTCTCAAGATCCGCATGACCCCGCCTGCGACTGAAGCGATGCAGTGTGTCTGCCAGCGGTGCTCACGGCGAATTCATCACTCTGTCGACGGCCGGGCCGGCTGCAGCGGCCCAACGATCGGCGACAAACTGCCGCGACGCCGTCGTCTGCCGCCGCAGAACTGTTGATCAGCGTCACCCGTCACGGCACCCGCTGCGCCGACGGCGGAGGCTGTGAGGTGCCGTCGGCCTCGAGCGCGACACCCAGAGACACGCCGCGAACGCCAGTTGACGCGACGCCAAATGCGCGCACGCAAAAAGGCCGGAAACGGCGCTGGTTTGCGCCGTTCGGCCAAGGTATTGTGTCGGCAGTGGCCTGCGTCGGTCGCGACGCATAGCTCGCGCGTCGGTGGCGGCGCAACGACCGACGCGGCGGCATCCGAGCCGGCCGACGCGCCGACCCCGCCCGATTACCGCGTGACTTTAATCTGGCACGCCCGAAAATAGGACCAGATGTTGGTATTTTGAATCAGAGAGCATCATCAACTCAGGGACAATGAGATCCGTGAAGAAAAATAAACACGGGTGAGGTGATCGCTCACGCGGGCTGTCGCCGTCATCAATCTTCGTTTTACGGGCCAGCCGTCGTCGCCGACGCAATGAAAAAGCTCAGGAAACTCGGCTTCTGAGAGCGTGCGCTCTGTCCGACGCCTTCAAAGAGGCAACGCGGGGCCGCGTGGGAGGAGGAGAATTAATACGCCATGAGTATCCACCCGGAGCATTTCGGAGAGCATAATCAAAAGACAAATATGAATAAAACATGGCTGACGAGGTGACCGTAAGATTTGTGAGCGTCAGCGTCGCTTCATTTTGAAGTAAAATTTGCTGCAATCTAAATAATCTCTCTCGCGGCAAGTGTTTTTGGAAGGCTTTAAAACCGATTCAGTAGCATGGCTTCTTAACCTCAAAGAAGCTTGTCAAAATATGCAGGAATCGCCCGACTTGGCTGCAGAAGCCTCCAGTTCCCACAACTGTACCATGAGGTGACTGTTTGGGTCGGACACATGCGATAGAAACTGCTTTAGTGCGATTCCCTGCTGTCGGGAATGTAGTGGACCTACTTTAGATTCAAATTTAGGGAAAATCTGGTCTTGCAGACATACAGGGCGGGCGGCGGCGCACCGAGCCTTTGCGGACATCTAACAAACACGTGACAGCCGCCTGTCTCATTGTTGGCTGACAACATAAGCCCACCCTGCTGAGAGGATAGGCTGAATTTACATTTGAAATTGCCACGTCACAAGTTCGATATGCGTCGGAACATGTGTTTTATGTTAACGCTAAACCTCGTCGGCCTGAATGGAAAGCTCTCAACTTCTGCGGTGCAAGGCGCCTGAAGATTCATGCGGGTGTCGCGCAAATAATCTGCATAAGTCGCCGCGGTCTGTCGGAGATCTGGTGGCAAAGCCTCTTCTCAGAGGGTAGTTGCACTGCCGCTTTGTTCAATACTGAATTCAGCAGATACCTCGATTTGAGCCATTTTTGCGCAAACTCTGTGCCTACGTCGTTTCATCAGCTCAAAGTGACATTCGAATGGCAGAACTATGCAGTGAAAGCCCTGAAAATAGTGTTTTGCTATTTGCAAGGCATTCGAATCCGGGATTTATTCATGGCCTGATCCGACTGCTATTCGGTGCAGACGGCCATACATCAACGTTCAATTTTTACTCTCTTAGTGAGTATTTCCATATCCTGCAAGTCAGCGTAAAGCATGTCGTGCCATTGTTAGCGCTATGCAAATGGCGTATTCGCGACGCGGCAATTTTCAGACAATTCGGCGGAAACGCCCGGCCAAATCTCCCTGTCGGCAATCGTGGAAACATTCAGCCGCTGCCTTTGTGCTCTGACAGGCCACTATTTGAACGTCGCAAACAAAGACCACACCTGGCGGTATCGGGTCAGCGGCCCACATGGGGGCGAGGGACTCCCACGCGGCTGCAACAGGATCGGAAAGGGTTGTTGCAGATTGGAATCTGACGTGGCTGTGGAATTGGAGAAGAGCAGTGATGACCACAAAGCCTCTAACACGGACGGCTGAGTGAATCTGAGAAGGGAACTCGGAAATGTTTCTCCCTTTGCCAGCAACAAGAGAACCGCTGATACTGCTTTGGGTGCGGGTGACTCCAAAACAGAGGTCATGAATGGGTCATCCCAGCGCTGAAGAGGCTCATGATCGATGAAAACATTCGGGGTCTAGGTGTCTTAAGATGTAGAAAGGTTTAAATACCTATTTGACCATGCTGATAACTAAGCCATTGTTACTTGCTAGCAGATGAGACTTTTGCTCAGGTCCTGGAATCGTATCCCAACGAGACTTACTTGTTTCATGACTAAGGGGCTCTGCAAGCAGTCAATGTACTCAGGGTGTATGTAACAGAATCCCCACTGACGTTGCACACAACATGTTCATGTCACTTTTACTGTTAAAGACTCGATGATACCTGAGAGTAAGAGGGTGTAACTTTGAGCATGAACTCATATCTACCATCTGTGAGATCCTGAATGTGAAATGTTGCAAAGCTGGGACCCTGAGCAGCTAAATCTCTGTGGCCGAGTCGTTGAGAGTGTCTCGCGGCGTCCCGCGGCGCGCTGTGACACCGGACACTCGCGGAGTCGTGTCGCCTCCTCCGCCGAGGCTCGCTGCCAGATTTATCGCCACGTTTTGCAGCGTTTTGACGGCGACGTCGGCGATTTACGGCGGCGAGGGCTGCATGGCCGACGCGCCGCCGCTGGCGCGCGATAAACTAACCCCCACGCCGAGCCGGGCCGGCCGCAGTGTCGCGATGTCGCACCTTTCCGGGCAGCGGTTACGATCGCGCGGTGACCTCGCCGGCCGGAACCAGCGACGGAGCCTCGCTGTTCTCGCTGCGATGTTGCTCGCCGAGCTGTGGGAACGCGCGCCGGCGAGGAACGCGAGCGCGAACCCGAGCCGACCTCGCCTGGCGCCTCGGGTTTCGGCGGCCGGTAAGCTGAATCACCCGATCGCGCCGACGCTGCGCGCTCGAAACGGCTGAATTTGCACGAATTTGCTCTCAAGTGCAGTGCCGGCTGATTCACTGGCGGCCGTAATGCAATCCGCAGCGTGCAGCGGCGCTTGTGACGCAGCCGGTGCGCCAAAGACGCCTCAGCAGCCACCGCCGCCGCGCCGGAGACGTCGCAGCATCCGCTGGTTTGTGTGCTGACACTGTTCTCACGGCTGCTGCTGCCGCTGCTGCTGCTATCGCTTCTGCTTCTGGTGTTCCAGTTTGTGCGGTAGCCTGCCACTGCGACCGCTGATACTGCTATACCGAACCGACACCACTGCTGCTGCGGCTGCAGCTACAACAACTACTACTACTGAGCCCCATGGCATATTGTTGCAGCGGCGACAGCTGGCACCTCTCCTGTGGCGCTATCGCCTCCTCTGCTGTCTGCTCCCAGGCTGCTGCCGTCTCCGCTGCCACCGCCGCTCACTATTTGCTTTTGCTAGGAAGTCCGCCAATAGTGGGATGTCACACGGCCAAGTGGTTGCATCGCGCTCCCCTGAATGCAAGACAAATAAACAGTGCCGGCAGCGGACGGGCTCCATTTGGGGGCTGTCCGGCGGACTGTGGCGCCGTCGGGGCAGGGACGACTGAGCCGCGTGCACCAGTACCGTTGAACGCCCATAGTCCTTGCCACCCACCACCCACCTTCCAGCGCCCACTGCACTATTAGGTACGGCAGGCACGGCGATGGCATCACTGAAGGACCAACATGAATCCGTGAGTGTGATGTGTAGTGTGTTAGATCTGGTGCTGAGAGGAAGATTTGGTTGTTGGTTGTTCAGGATTATGAGATTTGGCCTACCTGACCTTCAATCTGGACCAGTTCGGACCCATTCACTCCAACATTCTCATTCATTTGTAGGTCGTTTGTGAAGTCAGGCTCTTGTATGCCCCAGATCATTCGTCATCCTCAGACTCAGTCCCCAGGAGCGACTCGTCCCCTCCCTAACAAACACACTACTGTGGTCCATCCTGGCCCGTCTCGGATCTGCCCCCGCCCTGTCCTCCGGCCACTCCCACTGTCACTGCGCCCCAGCAACACCCCCGGCCCACTGCGCCATACTCCTCCACGTCAGACGATAAATAATGCCTCATTGTCGGCTGAGAAAATGACACGTTTGCAGGGTACCGGTAATTGATTCGTTCGGGGATGCTGACGTCGGCCCCACGGCATGTGATGGGGCCGCAGAATGGCCGGAGCTGGGCCCGAGTTCCGAGCAAGTTGGCCGTGGAGGTGGAACAAAACATGAGGGGTGCATTGAGTAGGTGCATTGAGTGGGTGCGGGCTGCGAGGGAAGGCTTCGCCACTTCGATTTTGAGTTGGCAAGGTTTCGACTGTGGACCACGAACGCAGTTGCTACGTTCTGACGTCACCCTTGTTTTGCCGGAAAGTTTCCAAGTGAGGGCAATTAATTAAGCCATAAAGTACCGGCCGGGGTATTTTTGGGTCATTGGCCATTGTTGGTCAGCTCTGCCGACGCCCGTCTCCGCTGCTGACTGGCATTGACCATCGAGTACCGACCGCTGACCAATGCACGGCGGTGACGTGACGCGGCGACCCGCCGCGGCCGCTTTGCTGGCCGTCACGCTCGTTTCCCGATTGTCGTTGGCACCGGATGTTTACTTTGTCGAGCTGCTGACAGCGGCAACACGTTTTCATCCCTCGGAGATCGCCCCTCCCCGACGTCCCCGACGGTTCCCGGTGTCCTCACTTCCCCTTCCCCTCCTAGGGAGGGACACCCAGGCTGGATGGGTAATGAGTACACTGTATATGAGGGGAGGGGGGCTGGCTCAGGTGCGACCAGTACAGCGTCGCTAATTTGGCCCGGGTGCCGACGACAGAACGCACATGCCCCTGGTAGCGGCGACCCTCGCTCGGACCCGGTAATTACATCGACGTACACAATTACATCACAGCCCGGGGTGGACGGCACGGGACGGAGCGGAGCGCCGGGGGCCGGACCGGGTTGTGGTGGGGGTGGGCCGAGCGGCGGCTATCGCAGTCTGCAGGGCGCACAGACACCGTCGGTGACAGGCGGAGGCGCGCGCCGCTCCTCTTATCGGGCGGCTGGTCGCCGGTGCCATTAGAGCGGTCATCAAACGGCTCCGGTCATCACCGCTGTCGCGCCGTCCAAAGTAGCACACAGAACACTCGCCAGCCGGAATCGAATTAGCGTCGGGCGGCTGGCTAATTTTTGTAACAGTATATTTTGATTTATCGCCCTAATTGCGCGGTCGAAATGGGTTTTGCGGTGAATCCGCTTCCAGCCGGGGTTGCGCCACCGCCGCCGACAAGTCAAAAGTCACCGGCGCCGCTATTTGGGAAAGATTAGAAAATGGGTATCCTGAGAACGCGGCCGACTGCGTTGTGCTGTTAAAGGCCCTCCGAGGTCGCCACCCATCCGACCTGTGACCCGTGGGTCGCTACCGCGAGAAAATGGAGCTCGACTTTCCGACAGAGTTCAGGGAAACAAAGCCATTTTTGCGCCCCATGTGAGCGGCGTGCGAAGCCCGTGTAGGGAAGTATCAAACGCATTAACACTGGGAAAGGCGGTCGGACCTACAGCGGTTTCATAAAGTACAGGCCATGATACACAGTAACTATTTGGGGTCATCCGGAGCGAGGCGAATGTCATCATCGATAGGTAAATTTCACGAAACTGTCGAAGGAATTTCGATAATGACCGGTGTATTGTGGACGTCCAGAAACATAGCTATTAAGTTCCATTATGGTGAACGAATCATTAAAAGACATACCAATTAGCTGTTACCGCGATTGGATTTCGAATATTTGTAGTTCACAAGAAATGCTATGTATATGTAACAACATTAAAAATGACGTCACAAGTGGTAAAAATTAAAAGATCTTTTTTCGTTGCGGCGCAGACGCGCGGTTGACTGCACTCGGGACCTAAGATGCACATTGCACACTGCGCAGTTGCACGAAATCGCACTTTTGCAGCGTGTCTCATTTGTCAGCAGGGTTATCATGCGGGTAGCCAGCGCAAAACAGCGCGATGTTCCCCGCCACTAATGGGTGTTCGATTTCGATACCACTTCTACAAAGATGGATGCGCCGAGAGACTGTGAGACACCTTGCGTGCGTCGAATGCGTCTCGCCGACAGGCACGAATGATAGAAACAACGGCGATCGAATGGCAAGTGGACCGAACGTGCTGATATTTGTGCGACAAATGTGGTCGCGGCGCCGTTTGAAATGGTGAGTTGTTTCGGTAGTCACTGTTCGCTAGGGAGTGTGCAACGAGGGTGATGCTTGTGATACAAGACATCACTTCCGAACTCTTCCCGCACGGTGGTCGAGAAAAGATGAGGGAGCACTCAGAACACCTGCTTGAACAAAACACCGCGAGATTGACAGACTATGCGGAATATAGGTACCGTGCAACCAACCAAAGTATGACGGGCTCGATCGCTTTACGCATCTGTGGAGACCACACAGGTTTCGGTATTGGATTTCTTTAGTGCCACACAAGTGGATAGATAAAGAGACAATACACCAGCCAACGTGCATCGACGGGAGGAAAGCGGGGCATGTAAAACAAGGAAAAAAGACCGCCACAAATCAAAAGCCCCCGAGCGTGTCATATTAGCTCGTTACAAAACTTCTCCAGTTGAAAGCCATGCGTCATGGCGGCGGCATCTGGCTCACAAATGTGAGCGCCCGTTTGCAAACGGTCCCGCCGTTACGACCAGAACGTCCAGCAACATAACACGGCAGATGTTCAACGTGAAATGGGCCAGGATGCCAGCTACAATACGCCCATTCCGTAAATATCCAATGTACTTATTTCACACACAGCCGTGGAATTAACCCAGTCAGTTATTCAGTTCATCCCTGAGATATTTCCATCGCAGCAGAGTTCGTGCTTCAGGCGATTTTGGCATCATGGAGTGATGTGTCACCCTTTGTTAGTATCGAGCTTTCCACCACACTGCTAATACCAACAACCAGGTACTATCCTGCAACTGCGAAGCATGCGGGCGGACTGAGACGGGCCTCACTTAGCATGCAATTATTCTGAAAACCTGCAAGCGTCCGCATTTTGGGCTAACTTATGCACCGCCTGCAGGGGAGCCATGACGAGCCTCGTTCCCATTAGATGTTCCGATAATACGCGGCCAGGTGTGGCTGAGGGAGACCCAGGGGTCACTGGCGGAAAGGTGGCGGCAGAAGGAGGTGGAAGCCGCGGTGCGGTGGCAGCCAGATAGTGCAGCTTTTAGCGGTGTGAGGCCGGCGTGCAGACTGAATACCGATCAACCGTCTGTCGGGCCCCGCCCAGATCTGCCGCCACCTATCTCCTTCTCTCTCCAGTGCCGGGAGAAACCCCCGCAGCCATCGGCCTGCTCTGAACAACGGACGGCTTCTGAGTGCAATTGCAGGGCGGGGCGCGCAGCCGGCTTTCTCTCCGCGTGATCCGGGCGCCAGATTTGTGACACATCGCTCCGACACATCGCTCCGACAGACCGCTCCGACACATCGCTCCGACACATTGCTTCGACACATCGCGCCGACACATCGCTCCAACACCTCACTTCCAGTGTGTTTGTGAGGTGGCTTGAATCGCGGTATTGATGAATTCAAAGTGGTGATTTCCCGAAAACTCTGAACACTAGCATAGTCAATAGACATGCACACTGCGCAGCGATTCGGAAAGTCGGCGATGGTGAATCCCCAACCGAAGAGGCGCCGGGTCATTCAGCCATTGAAAACCTGAATTCCATTGACTCCGATTTCCACATAGTTCCATATTCTCCACTACATCGCCGTCGCCGTCAACGTTGCTGACCCTCCGACCGCTCGACCCCATGCCTGGCGCGTTGCGTGCTGCCGGCCATAACGCGAGCTGACCCTCCAACACAGCGGCTGGCCGGTCTGCACCGGGCCACATCGTACACATTATTAAATTTGGTGCAAATGCTCCATAAGTCTGGCCGGGATGAGCTGGGGCGGATTTTATTCGCCCGATAACGGATCAGGCCCCGGGCGGGAGGTGTTCAGAGCGCTGCTCGCAGAGCACTGAGCGGACGGAGCACGCGGTCAGGGAGGGGCACCTTCGTGTGAGGCGTCCCCGACGTTCGCTAAGTGGGCAGGGTGTGAGTGTGAAGGGTTATGGGCGGCAGTGGTGCACTATGGACGTCGTGGAACGCGGAGGTGGGGCCACGGCAGGAGTAGCACGAAATTGTAATGGTTTGGTTACATCATGGAAGTTATGTTACTGCGTTGTAGACGCGAATTTGAAGCGGAACACAAGAAAGTGTTATTACATCCTGGTGGCAGTGACCTATAGGTTAGCGATATATGTATCATATCGACACACAGTTGTTTGTTTTTCTTCTTAACGATGCAACCACAGCTTTCTGCGTGGATATCGTACGGCTAAGTCAAAAGGACAAACATCCTAAAATTGTAACAGCCAGTGGCAGCTAGCTACCTCAGGTTCCTCAAGATCAAAACCTTCATTATCAACTTCATAGGCCTGCGGTAATCAACACATCAATTAACCTTCAACTCGCTGGTTAATTTGGTCTAAGTTTGTGATCCATGGACCAAGGACCATGAGCGCAAGCCAGGACCAATGACCACAGCCGACTGTCGAAGACCAAGAATGTATTCCACTCGCGTGTCTCGCATCACCACAGGGCTAAAGGATGCAGGTGGTCGCTCGAGTTGACAGCAGTCGGGGTACTGAGTGATGTTCCAGTCTTCATTAGTGACGATAATTGAGCGCAGTGATCGGAAGCACTTTGCAACCTGTCAGGCCGTAACTCGCCGCGTTGCGATTTCGGCGAACAACTAAGCAGCCGCGTCGCTCGATGGTCGATAAGTTAAGAACACATTAGGTGTTCCTGGTGTTTCCAAGTCTGGAAATGCCCACGAGCCATGACTGCAGCGTCATGGGGCAATAAAATACCAATGGAAACGTCTTTACCCTGCCCGACGCTGGCTTCAGCGGCAATAAAAAGAATAGGCGCGGCACACGATGAATACCCGCTGTAGGAATTGAACGAGTGGAGCTGGTATTTTAGTTGCTCAGCACTAAACCGAAGCTGCACTTTGTGTATCTTTAGCATAAAATGTTGCAGGCGAGGTCAACCATTTGCCGTCTTTCCTGTCCCGACGCATTTGCCATTTCAGGGGCTTCTGGAGCTCATCATGTCATGAGTCTGCTGAAGCATTGCAATGCGCATAATTTATGCAAAGCATAATGAGGGCTATCGCAACTATTACCACCTATGTTGCTTCCCTTATTACAATGTATCCGTCTGTTCCAGGTCGACCGAAGACTGTTCCAGGCCACATCGTCAGAGAAACAGGTAACCACTGGTCGCACCATCCATCCACTGTGACCCTAGGCACACCACACCACTGATGTTCGATGCCATCTATACTGATCACCACCTATCACACATTTCAACGTCGATCGGTGACGGTGTTCGGTACTCACCTTGTTGCATATCCAGCCGGGCCACCGTCTCTCCTCGTCCCTCGCCGCGTCGGTCACAGGTCACAGTAGCAGAGCCGGCAGCCGCACCTCGGGTGCCGTGACCGGCGCGTCGCCTGCGGCAGTGTTCTCGGTCGGCGGGCGCGCAGCAGCCACCCACCGGTCGCGGTCAGGGATTGAGTGGCGAGCGCCGCCCGCCGCCCGGCCGCCGCCGCCGCCGCCGCGAATCGGTCGTCTGCTGGCTGTTTTCCCCGACCGCCGCCAGGCGGCCGGCCAGCCTATCCAGTTTCAGGAAAACCGAATGGGGCGGAGCTAAGCCGGCAAAAAGATGAAAAATCGGCGCCCGATCGGCGCGGCATTGCGGCGATCGTGGCTGGCGGGTGGTGCGCGGAACGGCCGCCCGCCCGGCCGCCCGGTCGGACGGTCGGCGGGCGCGCGACGGCCGGGTCACCGCACGGGAGGGGCCCCCAGACGGTGCCGCCAGCACGCGTGGCCGAATGTCGACGTCAGGGGCGCGCTACGGCGACGAACGGTTCACCTGGCCCCCGGCGGTGCGGCGAAAAAAGCGGCGTGCCGTGGGATGGCGGGGGTATTTACCGGCACGGGCAGGGTCATGGGAATGACCGGCTCATGAGGTGGCGCTGTCGCACGGCTTCTTACTTCTTTATTTCTTCAATCCATGTGCAATTTCATATTTTCCTGTGGTGGTCCCAATGAAACACACCATGCTTCATCTCCACCTACTTTGCATACGTAACATTTTTGTGGAAAAAATAGCCTGATATATTAACATATAAACATACAATTTACACAACGCTGATTTGTTGCTCTTTACAACACTGGTGCACACAGAAAAATATTGACACCGTTAGCGGTGTAATTGCACAGTACATATCTGAGCACTTGAGGAAAGTTAATTTAGTCCCTTCCCCGCTTAAATTACTCGCGCTTCTAAATGAACACCAGGAAGAAGGTAATAGAACACTGTTAGGAGGGTTGGGTGTTTTACTACATGTAGCAAAACACCCAACCCTCCTAACAGTGTTCTATTACCTTCTTCCTGGTGTTCATTTAGAAGCGCGAGTAATTTAAGCGGGGAAGGGACTAAATTAACTTTCCTCAAGTGCTCAGATATGTACTGTGCAATTACACCGCTAACGGTGTTAATATTTTTCTGTGTGTGGACGCCAGTGCTCATGCAGGGCGAATGTGATGCATTGCACGGTGGTGAATGTGCTCTTTTTTTTAAATCACGAAATTCTCTTTTGTCCCAAGGATGTTAAGTACCCTAAGCACTTATATGTAACACTTAAATATAAATTTTGTACATGAACGTTTTTTTAATGAAGTACAAAAAATAAGGCTATTTTTATGACGTTACCCTGCGTGGGATAAAACGTTTAAAGATTCTTATGCACATCTGTGTTATATAGTAACCAAGCATCTTTGCGACCCTTTGTTGCCTCTGTTCGCAAGATGTAAGCATACATAGATAAAGGTTATAAAATTCATTGAAGGACATTCTGCATGTCTGTATGGACGCAAAAATTTTGTTTCGCAGGGAAAATTTGCAGTTTTTTAGAGTGAATCCGTGTAATGCGTGGTTCACACCGGATCCGTAATGACCGTTACGTTCCGTAATGAATACGGTGGCGATTAAAAAATATCTCGAAAGTGGAGGGCTCAATGCAACGCGCATGCGTAGTTCGATTTTTTGACGCCGTAACGCCGTAATGGTTACGGATTCGGTGTGCACCGGGAATTGTCGTCGCTGAGCGTCACCGTTCGAAGCAAGTGCGCCAAAACTCTATTTTGTTTATAGGCAAGCGGAAAATGGACTAAAGCCAAGAGCTGTTTTTAATATCAGAGCGCCAGAATGTAGATTTGTTTTACTCTCTTCCTTTTAATTTGTTAATTTCACTCTGACATAGCGGTCTGCAATTGTATCGAGTCATATCATTGTTAATTAAACACCGGTGGGCAGAACACTGGACGGAGATTCTTGCATTATTTCTTGCATTACAAGAGGGCATGTCTATGCCCGTCAACGCTGAAGTTTATTTCTTACATTCTTTGCAATTCGTGGGTGATGGGAATACCAACGGACGCCAGAATCTGTATTGCATACCATTTGTTCGATTGACTTGCCAAGAGTCAATGTGGATTCAAACGTCTGCAAATATCTACAAGTCCAAGTATCAAATTTAGCAAGTAGCAGGGGCAATAGGTACCTATGGCCGGTGAAGTTTACTCAGAACTCCATGAAACTCAGAACTCAGATTCAGAACTCCACATACAAGATACAAAGTGAGCCGTGAGCGTTACACGCTGAGGGCATGCTCACAAGAAATAATAATTATTGGCAGGTTGATTCGAGCTAAGGTAAAAGGCCAAAGGGTCCGAACGTGCGCACGAGCTGACTACTGCCCTCGTCAATATTTGGAAGCTTCATAACTGCTCGGCGATACCTTGGCTTAACCTACCAAAGATGCAATCCCAAGCAATCGGAACATGTCATTAAAAAGGGTAAGCAGTAAGCACGCGCACGTGTGCAGACCAATACGCTCGCTGACCTGTGAAGTCTACCAATATGCATGGTGTTATTTGCCTAGCATGCTTAATATAAGCTCTATCGGCCCAGCCGATCTGCGGTTATGGAAAAAGGGTACGCACGTGCGCACGTGCTAGGCAATACCCTCGCTGACAAGTAGGTACCATCTGCAGGTCAGCATGGTGTCCTTCGGCATACTTAATATGAGCGTTATCGGCCCAGCGGATCCCCAGATATGGAGAAGGGGTACGCACGTGCGCACGTGCAAATCAATGCCTTTGCCAACCCGTGCAATCTGCTTATAAACATGGTGTTATTCAGCATACAAAATATGAGCGTTATCGGCCCAGCCGATCCACAGATATGAAAAAGGGGTACGCACGTGCGCACGTGCAAATCAATGTCTTTGCCAGCCCGTGCAATATGCTTAAAAACATAGTGCTTTTCACCATACTTAATATGAGCGCTATCGGACCAGCCGATCCCCACATACAAAAAAGGGGTACGCACGTGCGCACGTGCATACTAATGTCTTTGCCAAACTGTGCAATATTCACATTTACATGGTGTCCTCTAGCATACAAAATATGAGCGCGATCGGCCCAGCAGATCCCGAGATATTAAAAAGGGGTGTGCACGTGCGCACGCGCTGAAGGAATTCAAAACCGTTCAAAGGTCACCGGATGTGTAGTGTGCACCCAGCCAAAACAACAAACAAATTTTGAGCTGTATCGCTTCAGCCGTTCCCGAGTTATGAAATGACGAGCTCTTCTGGAACCTCTCACGTCGCACGTGGCACGCGCTGTAACAGGCACTCATGAATTTTATGGATAACACAGTTCCATGAAGAAAGGATACATACCCTCTCCAAAGAAGACCGCTCATCAAACAGTCAAACCGTTTTGGAGATACACGTCAACAAAAGTCATTACGGCGGCCGGTCGGGCCGAAAAGTTCAATTTTCCCAACTTCTGTTACGTTCCGTAACGAGTACGGTGGACGCTGCCAGTTTACGGCGGCTGGTTGCCACATTTCAACTTCGTCTAGAAAAGTCGCAATGCTTGGGGAATCTTGAGAAATATCTAGCTCATTACGGCCGTAACGGTTACGGCGTCATTACGGATCCGGTGTGAACCACGCATAAGCCATTGCCCTACTTTTAATGTTTATGCATGCGGTTTTCTGGAGCTTCAGGGGAAGTTATTTGCAAGTCGCCAGGGCTTCTCACTGTCCATGGGCCCAAGAAGTTTAACTGCGTCATGCCGTCTATCTAAAATACTAAACGAATTCCTCCCCGGTCCGCGATTTCGCCCGGTCCGTCACGGGACTACTGCCACCGAATGCAAGCCTTCTCCATCATCGGATGGGCTACCGAGACACTGAACGATACGATTATCATTGCAGCAGTTACTTTTTTTGAGTATATGTACGTATGACTGTGCTAATTCAACAATAAGTTGGTGCAGGATTGAAACGAAAGATCGAAACTATTCACACAAAAATTGGCGAATATTTTACTGATGTTTAATCGCTAATCTACTTAACAGATTGAAGAAGAGTATTTCACAGCCACCATAAGGGTCACCTCTCTGCATCCCACACAGTCACCTCATTCATTTTCATTCATCCTTTCGTTTGTCCTCATTCATTCAAATGGCATGCGCCTCCCGGAAGTGTTATGTGCAAAGATTACAAAATGGGGGGGGGGGGGATCTTGTCCCATCCCGGGATAAGACGCCTTAGGAAAGAGGGCAGGGTTCCATTGGAACGAGACGTCACAAACAATAAGCGAGATGCTTCGACAAAGTTTAACTTCCCTCAACCTCTTGTATGTGAGAAGTTCCGTTGAGGCGATTGTCTACCGCAAAGGCAAGAATTAACACTCAATATGATATCACATCTCCTCAAACAAATAGTGGAAAATCAGACCAGTCAATACACGTGCATTCATTAAGCTAACGACTTAAAAGCTAGCACGGCACATTCCAAGGCTCCACTCACGGCGGAGCCTGGTCTCAGACGTGTCTGTCTGGTTGGACGGACCACCGGGGCTGGTATGGGCTACTCTTTCCATTCAGTGGCCGTCTCTACCGTCCCGGCACGGTAGTCAGTTGGACCGGCCGCTAGCTTCTTCCGGTTGACGACGCCCGCCTCCTTATAATGAATCAGACTGAACGCTTCTGGGAGTTACACCACTGCATTCATGTATGCAACATCACAATGATGAAATATCAGACATTCTGCATACACTTACTCGTGATATGAGCAACTGGTGGCCGCTCCGAATGTGGCACTTCCAAATAGTTGCATAAGTGTAAAGGGTACATACCTGAGGTCAAATTAACCAGCTATCTATGCGGATAAGTTCCAGAAGTCTCCTCGGACTTGTATACCAGTGTACTGTCTGAGCTGTTGAGAGGAACTCCAAGGCTTTTGGTTTGTGTTATTCACAGCAAAGATAAAAATGCCTTAACCAGGATGAAGCAGTTACAAGCATCTAAAAAATGCGTGCCCTGTCTTCCTAAATGTGCTATTGAAATGACTCCAATACGATATTCTAATCATGTTTCATAAAGCGTATAACGTTAGATAAACATGTTCCTAGATTTCCATTGTTTCGACAGCACCTATTCAACACCTGAAGGTGCTCTGCCTTATT